CCGGCCGGCTGCTGAGCGTGGCGTGCCGGCGCTGCGCGCCGACACAGAGCAGAGCCGTGGCCCTGCGCTGTCTGTATATTAAGCACTTTGCTGTATTATTAAACACGCACTAACTGATCTATAGAGCAAGTTTGAACGCGGCCGTGAGCGTAAGATCCCTTGCGTCTATTATGCCCTCGCGGGCGCGGCGGGCAAAGGGGATCGCGGCCGTTATTTCCTGGCATCGCGGCTATCGCCGCGTTATACTACTTATCAGCATAGTAAAGATAAATACGAAGATCTATATATATACACGCTTATATTCTTATTATTAGCCTTATATTAATTACTTAAAGGCCGCCTATCGTAGGAACGCTGGCTAGGCGTATAGTAGACGCCCTAAAAGTAGGCGACAAGCCTATAAGTATCACTCTACAATAACTCAACCACGACGCCTTTAATTACTAATTTAAGTCATTAGATATACGATTCGTGCCGTAAAGCTATAAAAATAATAATTAATTTATAAAAGAGAGAGCGATTATAGCCTAAGGGCCTTCTATAGTTTGGCGTGGTAATTACGCGCGCGTTAAACGAAGACTATATATCTTTAAATATTATATCTTACGCTATTTTACTTACGTAAATTAAGTACCTCCTAACGATCTAATATCACTTAATCATACCTATGCTAATTTTATATCTATTTACGTGGCTGTGATATTATTCTCAAGCCCTTACGCAGCCCTGCCGCCAAGTGTATTATCTATTTACATAGAGATCATAACAGCCTCACAGCCTCACAGCCAGCGACTATTCTATTCAGATATAGCAGAATTGATCCTTCCATAGCCCTATACGCCGCTATGACCGTGCCTGTTAGTTCGTTGGCGATATGGCTGACCATCCGGCCGCGGCCGCGGCTATGGGCTGCTAATTGTCTGCTAGCCTTCCTCCTTAACTCCCTATATAAGGGCTAATTCGAGTAATTATCTTACTCGCGAAAGTTCAATCTGAATAATCATAATGTTAGTCCTTTAGTCAAGTGGTTACGGTATCAGGCCCTATACCGCGGCGCTAGCCCTTCGGGGGTTAAATAGGAATTCTACACAAACCTAAGAGTAGAATAGTATAATTATTAAATGCGACCTCCTAATCATTAGAATCCGAGATTAACCTTTTATTTATTTATTACGGGAGTCAGGATAGTTAGTAAATATATTATTATACCGGGCGTCCTTCGAATTATAATTTAAGTACGGTCTTACCCTCTAATCTACTAGTTATAGTAGGTTTTCAGGCGTTAAAGTATAGCAATAGATAGAAAACCGTATATTCTAATAACCGCTGTTAAGACCTCTCTAAGGCACCTCTTTTTTTTTTAAAGTTATTGATAATAATCTAAGATATTATTGATAAGGGAGGCACGCCTGCCCGCTGAGTATCACACACTAATGTAATTCTATTGATTAATGTGTGATAAAGAGGAGTCAAGTGTTTGAATCTATTGAGAACGTTCTTTTTTATTATTATTTACTTAAATAAGGGCGTGGTGAGGTTATCGCCGGCGCCGCACACATAAGAGTCTGGTGCGCACTTATCCATTTGCAGCATTTGCAACCCACGTGCATAGGTGCCACCGTAGTCATCAGCCTGCTAGGCGCTTGGCCGTCGTATTTTAGGACCAACAGCCGGGCAGAGCATTCTCCGTTTCTTAACGAGAGTCCCGATCTTGTTTCCTGAGCCACGAGCAGCGGAGCATATAAGATAGCGGCGCCTCCGCCTACAGTATATGCGTCCTGTCTATTTCCTTCCATCATTCCAAACCCCTCTTCGCGTCGAGGCCTACACCTAAGCCTGCCATGTCGCCTCCTCACCGCTCCCTCCGCGATGCAAACGAGTACACCACTCACCATGCCGACTTCGTCGAGCGCTTCACCCAGCGCGAGAAGCAGCAGCGGGTAAAGAAGAAGTCAGCGCCGCTCAGCGCCGCTCAGCGAGCTGCCCTTCGCGAGTAGTTAAAGGAAGTCCATTTCCTCAAGCCCGACTACGCGGACAACACTAAAATCAACATTGCCGGTATCCTGCGTAAATAGAAAGGGTGCGAGCCACCGTTTGTGGAACTATTTCCTCGCTGACCCCTCGCCAGATACTGCAAATCCGCCGAATTAGGCCATGGAAGGCCGTTATCCAGCAAGCCGACCGAGCAATAGCCATGGATTTTCTCGACCACCTCTGCTAGACATGGAAGATCAACTCCGAGGGGACGTCGTGGGAGTACTGGCGGCAGTACAAACAGCTATACAGCAGCGTCACAGGCAAGTACGTGGACAGGAACGATAGTAGAGAGGTCCTTAAGGTAAGTCAACGGATCTTATGCGCACTCTTTTCTACAACAGCTGACCTAGTCCCCAGTGGCACGATGCCTATCTCGTTCCAAAGTACAGCTTTCGACCACCCAACATCGACGGGAAGCCGGTGCTGGGCCCAGATGATTTACTCGTCCTGCAGACGTTCAACATCGCCTACGATACAGGTATCTTCACACTCGAGCGACAGCGGATCCAGCTATCGGGGTCATATCTCATTCTCGGGTGCACAGGCGCCCGACCGGCCGAAGTCGTGGATAATGAGAAAAACAAACCCAGGGACGGATCATGGGAAGAACTTTGGGGCGGCCAAGCCAGCTTGCAGGACGACGACGCAGAGGCCAAGTCTACCGACGAGGTCCCTGATAAGAACTCCAGGCTGCTGGAAGATATTCTCTCGCAAGAATCGGAGGGTCGCGGGCGGCCCAAGGCACTCTGCTATAAGGACGTCTCTTTAATAGTAGTACGTCACCCCGATACTAATGAGGACGTGCTGGCTATGGCTATCAAGTTCATCCACCATAAAGGTTCACATAGCAAGCCCAAGCCGTGAGTAATCCCTCTCCCTGATCAACTCACAGAAGACGGCAACTGACCTAGCTCACACTCGTCAGGACCATATTCTTCTTCATAGCTATAAAGAGACTTATATTCTGCCCAATCCTGGCCATCATCAGCCTTGCCCTCGACGACGAAGCCTTCGACGCTCCGAGCTTGACCACGGCCGAACGTGTCTTCCGAATCAAGAGCCGAGGCCCCGTTCAGTGCACTCACTTACGGTGGAAGCAGAAGTGGCTGGAACGCCCGATCTTCCGCGGATTTGATGGATCAAGTACCTCCGAGGAGAAGGCGCTACCGTACTATAAGCTAAGGGACGACATGGAACGACAGACCCTAGACGCCGGGTTCGAAGAGCCTATTGGGCCGAAAGGGTTCCGTCGAGGAGCCGCGAACGCGGCGAACGGTATATTCCTTGATTAGCACTTGATACTGTTCTTATGTTGATCTAACACCGGCTATAGGAAAGGCGCCCAACGCCGTCCGTGATCAAGTGATGCGGCATGACCCGAAATGGGCAACGTTCAACAGCGCATATATCAACGAGAAGGTCGAGTTCCATCTCCAGAACGCTTTTCTAGACGAGCCAATGGAAGACGGTCTAATCAAATTCTTCACCCATATCAGCATTATGCGGGATCCTCGAGCAAGCTACGACATGGTTCCCGAGGAGGTCTGGAGAACGCTGCCACCAGATCCTGATATCGCTGCGCTCGAGGCCCAACGTGGTGAGTTGAAAAATGGTCGGTTTCGGATTCAGGGAGCTGATGTTGAGAGAGGGGTGCGGCGGCTCTCTAACAAAATCCGCAACAAGCGTGCGCAGCGTAACAAAGCTCTTCGACAAGAGCATAAAAAATACTACTTTTACAACCGACCAACGTGGGATATTGAGAAACAAACAATGAACGCTTTCGAGGACGACGAGGAAGAGGAAGACGGAGGAGCCGCCAACCATATTCAGCCACCCATTGAGCTACGCATACCTGAGCGTGCTCGGCTTGCCGAGATTCTTTGTCATCATCCAGACAATCTCAACAGGATTGAACTCCGACGTCTTCGAATTGAGGCTACCCAGCTCATGACGGCTCTCTGCAGCAAGAAAGAGACTGTCAGGCGTAAGTACATTCGACAAACGACCCAGGCCGACTTGCCTATAATGGATGAACTCGATATACCTATCAAAGAGGAATCTCCGGAGTCGGATAGGTTTTCCCTTCTTATGGAGAAGACACAATGTCCTTGCTGCATTGGAGACAAAGCTTTGTCGGAGGAAGAGAGAGCCTTCCGTTCCTGCAAGCCAGCTGTGATGAACGACCACTTTGACCGCGTGCATCTGAAATCCATGAAGTTAGCGGAAAAGTCCAAGTCGATTACGTGTGAACACATAAAGTGCCAGGTCAACGGAGAGGCTTTGAAGCTGGAGAGTCTTGATCACTTTAGAAATCATGTACAAACCAAGCACGGAGTTCGTCTAAGGCCGGAGCGTAGATAGCCGTGTTGTCTCAGTCCAATTACCGTCATCTGTCAATATCACACTAGAGTACTCTTGGCTGATAAACGAACTGCACTGTTTGTGTGAAGATTTCCGCTGGACTCTCCGGGTAGGGGGAATTTGGGTTACTAGAATAGAAGAGAGACCATGAGCGCAGCGAATAACAAGTTGCCTGCTTCACCCACTCGGACGAACGGAGATCTCGTTCGCAAGAACCAAGCAACACGAAAAACGAATATAAGCTTTGAATAGATCCACTTAGAGTAAACCAATGACAAGCCGTATGCGTCGCCCGTATAACTGTCCCACATTCCAGTACTGCACGAGCTGTTATATACAAGCTTGATACCGAGGCCGATCTAGAATGCAAGCGGATAATAATGGCATGATTAGCAATCTCCCTACTCTAAACCCTCTTCCTTTCATTTTATTCCAACCTTCGCCATCACAATTACTACACCGTGCCCGAATCTACCTAAGTACAAGTATCCATACCAACTGTCAATCATGGCATGCGCCGATATTTCAATCCATCTCGCCGACGAGGATTTGGCCCTACGGCTTCAACTTGAGGAGATTAAAGCCCAACGAGCATGTCAAACCGGAAAATGGGTCGAAGGCAATACCCCCGACCCATCGAACTCGGCCCCGCGGACGAGAAATTGTCCCTTAGCACACGGCTGCCGTCATGGTTTCGCACAATGGTGGTCGTCGTTGTGGCCGAGTTTCTGGGGACCTTCCTCTTTCTCTTCCTCGCCTTTGCTGCTACGCAAACGGCCTTGAATACGCAAGTGCAAACAGACGTTCCGAGTCAGAATAGTGAAACCGAGGGCGGGGGATCGTCTCCATTGCTTCCAGTCAGCTTTCTCTACATTGCTGCTGCCTTTGGCACCTCGTTGGCAATCAACGTCTGGGTGTTTTACCGCGTATCGGGCGGCATGTTCAACCCTTCAGTATGCCACACTTTCTTCATGTTCTCACAGATGATTCTAAGCTAACGTTAAGGTCACTCTCGGCCGACATGATTATTCCCACTCAAATTGTCGCTGCTATCGCTGCGGCTGCTGTGGTTGATGGCAGGGTTCTTCCTAGAGACGTTTTTGACGGCACAGCTTCTCTTGACGATATACTTCCTTGCCGCCGAGAAGCACCGCGCAACGTTCCTTGCGCCCATCGGTATCGGCATATCCGCTTTCATCGCCCATCTTGCCGGCACACCATACACGGGCACCTCGATCAATCCCGTCCGATCCTTCGGACCAGACGTCATCACAGGTTTTGTGAGATACCACTGGATCTTCTGGGTTGCCCCTTGTTTCGGAGCCGTTCTAGCAATTGGTGTTTACAAGCTGATGAAATGTATGGATTACGAGGATGTCAACGGTGGACAGGACGCTGCAGATACCGAGGCTGCAAGGGGCAACCGGTTGGATTGATAGATACAGTTGCTTGTGATTTGTTGCTACTTGTCGGGTGTTTTACTTGTAGAATCAATTCGGTCCGTCCAGATATTGTTCGGCATTGAGGATAGGGGCCGTTGTTGAGTCGAGAGAGAAAGGGGATATTTCTCTAATTTTGCCTAAGCAGTAGCAGCTAGCGCGTAAACTCCATCTAGGTATATCAAAGAGAAATTACGCTACTATTAAGAACATTTTTCCGGTCTGATGATTCTGTAATTCACTCAGGGTAGGGCCATTGTCCCCGATAGCCCAGCCATGAGACCAGCGACTAGAAATCTCACAATCTTGGCGCTTCAGACTCACCGAGAGTGCCTTACATCCCATGTCACAATGGCTTGAGAAGTTCCAGCTTGAATCATTAGGACAGTAGCGGGGAACAAGCTTCATGTTTCCGGACTCTCGTGGCGTTTAGTAATTTCGAATCTGAGGGTCACGAGCTCCCGTCCTACGCCTCTGCTCCATCCTCTTGAATATTCAGGCAAATGGGTGTTTTCTTCCGTGATTTGGACTAATGCACTGACGTGCCTTGAACATCGTCGTAGTCTGATACAATTCCTCAGACTCGTACTAAGACACCGGTCTCTGGTAAGAGTCTATTTAATCCAACCGGACGGCAAATTCTGACTGACTTCTCAACGATTCAGATCAAGAATCGTCTCCGACTCTCCGCCGCTCTCTGACCCACTGCGTACAATTTCGCTGTCAAATGTTCACTGAAATGCAGCGGCAGAACTCCCGCGTCCACCACCCGCAAGCCCCGTGTACCGTAGACTCGCAAGGGATCAACCACGACGCCACCCAGGTCCCGGCCTACCAGTTTGGAACATTCTCTGATACCACGTCTTTATTCGGTGGCGTTGTAGTGCTTGTGGAAAAGTTCATTGCCCCTCAAGGACTGCTCTAAATACTATAGAATGTTAGATCCTAGTAGTAGGGAGGGCAGTGTAAATAGTTTAGGGGAGCTGGTAGAGTTTGGGAGGACATGAAAGAGAAAGAAAGCAGGAACTTAGTACTTCTTCATAATATAAACACTTTAATAAACGACGTATGACTAGTCTCTAGCTACTATCTCGAGAGATTATTCAAAAGCGACGCGTGTAAAAGTAGACCGACAATTCTTGCTTAACATTCAAACACTATCTTCCAGGATATGTATATAAAACCATGGTCCTATGTAGTCCTGCGCGAAGCTCACCGGGATCAGTTTGGAAATTAGAACTCCCATCTTGGATAAGCCACACAAGCGTCCCTCGGACCCTCTTAGAGGGTACCGTTGCCTTCTCTACGAGCCGTAGATAGACCATTGAACCTGCTCGATCATCTCACTGCCCTCGCAGTCCACGTTGCCTTTCCCGCCCATTCGTGTACCATCCCCAAACATGTTGGCGGCGTCGTTGATCAAGTCAATAACGTCTTGACCACCAAACCAGAAATGGAGGTTACCATCGGGCGAGTCCCTGGCCTCGACGCCAAAAGCACAGGTGCCAGACTTCTTGAGTGTCTCGTGGCCAAGGAGGAGCACATCCCACGCCTTGGTAGAATCCTCTTGGAGCTCTTTGACAATGTCAAGGCAATCTTCCACTAGTGGCGAAGCGCCACTTGTCTCGTCCACAAATGTAGACTTGCTGCAGAAATCCTTGCCCTTTAGTAACTGACAAGGGTAGCTCTCGTGGTTCTTTTCTTGCTCGTCGGCGTCGTCCCACGTTTGGTACGCGCGCTCGGGGGAGCAGACTGGAAGTCGGATCAAGCCAGCTTTTCGAACATCGTCTGCGAATGCGAGACTGTTGATGAAGTCATCGTCGAGCTTGTGAGGTCGCGGAGCACCATTTCCTCCATTCTCATCGTAGGTGTTGACCGATCTAATGAGATTAGTACGCTTGTCCAGGCACCTTTTTCGGAGCAGAAGGATAAGAATGGAAAGAGCTTACCCCTTGACGAGATCCTCTACAGTGATGCCTCCATAGGGATTGTCATCCTCCTTGATCTTTTCTAGACCGGGTGGCAGTGAAAACTTGCCCGAGTGGCTGATGTGACTAGGATTCCCGTTGGCGTCCGCCAAGAAATACCTTTTACCGTTATGGCAGACCCCGGCATGTTCGCTCACCTCATCGTTAATATAATCCGACAGGTTGTCATCATCGTCGCAGCTCAAACCTGAGTCAAGGATAAATCCGTGCGTTCCAGAAAATCTCCAAATTTCGGGAATAGCGAGGCTGAAAAAGGTTCGAGCAACGCTCTCCCTCAAATCATTCACGTCTTGATCCGCCGTCGAACCCCCACTACCGACGCCACGGCCGTCGCCATCGATAAAGGTGCCCCCTTCTATCAGACCATATAGCCTGTCGATAGACTCGTCACTACCGTCGAATAGTGCTGCGAGGTTGTCCATGGTGATCTGGGACCAAGAGTCGAGCACTGCTGATATAAACGTCTTGAAATCATCCTGTGAATCCTCACCCCAGTCATCCCTTTTGATTTGCGTTAGAAAGGCCTCTGAAGGGTAAATGTGTTGCTTACAAGCTCGTGCTCGCCAAATCTTTCGCCAGCGTCGTCCCTTGCTGCACAGCAAGGACAGTCGTGTCCTCTAGGTTGGCTGCAGCCGTCGATCCGGCTTTTGCGAACTTGGGCAACGTGGAAATGACTAGTAGTCCAAAAATTGTCAGCATCGCGAGGTTCTCAGTCAGTGTGGCGGAGCTTGGGGCCAACTTGACAAGGGTCGAAACGTACCATTCTTGAATAGAGGCCCAAGAGCAGCGGAGGCTCCAATGGTGAGAATGTCGAGCAAGACGAGGAGCCAGGTATTGTCAGGCTCTGGGGGAACAGGGGCGAAGTCGTTACCAAAGCTGTCTAGGGCGTTGTTAATTTTGAGCGTAGCAGAATCCGTTATAGCGTCTTCCGCATTTGTGTAAAGCTTCTTTATGTTAGCCCAAGATCGCGATAGAACATCGGTGGCAGTACTCACAGCTTTAACCTTGGTCAGAGAGTTGGCAATGGCGATTCCGGCAACGCCCTTTCTAGGGCCAAAATTTTCCGAGTCACAATCCATTTCCTGAGTACAGCCAGAGCCATCGGCAAAGTCGCCACAACCAAATGCGAACGGATATCCCGTATTCGCTTTGATAATGTCGGTGAAGACTTCATCACTATCACTCCTCATATCTTTCCAGACTTCAATCAAGTCACTCCATGCAGTTGGGGCATCCATCTGGTCCCATCGCTCTTCTGGGGAGAGATTGGTCCAGTCGACCCAGGCGTTGTTGTCGCATTTCAGCTCGGTCCAGTTTCCATTTCGTTCACCAGACGTGCTAGGGTCCAACCCAGCGGAGATGAGGGTCCTCATGGAAAGCCAGCTACTGATTCCAGAAGGGGGGGGATGATACTTCTCTAAGTCCGTCGCCCAGTTGACAGATCCACCAATACCGAGCGCCTGGTAGAATACCTGGCGCTGTTGCTTCACGTCGTCGCTCATCCAGCTAACATATTGATTGCCGTCGTAGACAAGGACATTGCTGTGTGTGTCCTGGTCTACGAAGTTGTGTTTGACGCGGCTAGAGTCATCAATGATCTTGAGGATCTCGGCATTAGCTAGAATACCTCCCTCGTTGGTGCATTCGCCCAAGGTGGCATCTGAAACCATGCGAGTGCCGGTGAAGAAGCATTCTTCGGTATAGCAGTCCCCGTCTGCCATATTAAAGGATCGTCCGTAGCTTGTTAAGCCGGCGGCAATCTTGTCCGACGCAGCGCCCGCCGTGGTAATCATAGCTAAGGCATTATGTGTCTCAGTCACATTGACCTGGCTTCGCAGGCAGCGGCCATTGGGGCAGCCAACCTGGGAGTTCGCGTTGCCGGCATCCCACTGGCCATGTAAGTCGTACGTCATGAAGACAATATAATCGACAATCTTAGAAATCCTGTCGATAGGGTACTGCTTTAAGTACCAGAACGAGGAGGGCGCAGCAATCGACACCTCCTTGTCTGGCAACAAGGTCTTGAGGAGAGCGAGGAAGATCAAGTAGTTTTCACCTTCATCTTTGCCTCTAGGGGGAATGCCTGGGATATCGGGGGCCTTGGAAACAGTTAGTGAGCTTTCCTTTTGAAGTTTCAGCTTGTACGTACACCTGGGTACTCCCAGTCGATATCAACACCGTCAAGTTCGTGCTTATTGATATAATCGGCAATGTTTTTTGCAAGGACCTGGCGGTTGGCTTTCTTGGTACCCTCCCTAAAGATGTTGTACGTGGCCGGCTCTGTCGAAAACGCCCATCCACCGAAAGAGAGGATCTTCTTGGGTCCAGCGATGTTTTTCCAGACGCCGAATTGATACGTCGACATTTCGTCTCCAGCATTGATCTGATAGTCCGGAGTAATCATTCCAAAAGCGAACTGTAGATGTGTGTATGCCGACGCATCAATCTGGGTAGCATCTTGATGGATACATTTTCTGTTTAGATTGTACCCCTGGAAGTAGCCAATCTTGCGGAACGTCGCAGGGGCATCACTCCTGACAATGTCCATACCACAGTTGGAGATGCATCCATTGGTTCCTGGTTCGGCCGTTCCTGGTGCTCCGGTGTTGGTGTCGGTGCAAAACTCGGCCGTGGTTCCGCAGAAGCCCCAGCCAGAGCAGCAGGCGTTCAGGGGGCAGGGGTTGAGATCGGAGAGGCTTTCACCTTCCGAGGGCTTCTCTGTGCCCGGAACCTGGGGGCCACATGCAGTTCCTTTAATCTGAGCAGGCATTGGAGGGTCTCCCTTGCTCAAGCAGATGACAGCCCCCCTTTGGAGGGGTTCGCAGTCGGTCCACCCCCAGGTGTTCTTGTTGAACTCTTTCAAGTCTTTCACGGTCAGGCTATTGGCAGCAGCGAGACTGCTGCAGGTATCAACAGACCTGACCTTGTGGGTGGCGCAAGTACCATCCTGCTGCGGGTCGGGACTCAAGTCTGGAAGATCTCCCTTCGTGCAGCAGACAGGCTGCTGAGCTTGCAACGTAGAGCACAGGTCGTCTTTAAAGTCGTTATACTCTTCAAACGTGTGACCAGGGATGCCGCACCTCTCAGCTAATGCACCGCAGCCATTGCCTGGGTTGACTCGAATCGTCTCACACTCATCCCGCGCTATGAGTCTCCTAGGCTCAGAGCGCTTGGAAGAAAGTGTTGCAGTTGAGTTCTTCGAGGTTCCCTCCAACAACGGCGTCACGAGGTGGGCCTTTCCTGGAATCTTCTCGGAATTTTGAATGGGCAGACATGTGGCGTTCGCCCATGACTTGATGGCCTCTTGAATTGGGGCAAATGACCTATTGGTAGTTGCCATCAAACCAAAAGCGTGCGTTGCATCTTGGGCAGGGTTGCAGAGCTGCATGCCGACTGTCGACGCCATCATATCAGAGGACACGAAGGCCTCGAGGGCGTTGAGGGCGACCGAGCTGACGCCTTCTTTCTGTAGTCCAGAACCGATGTAGAGACCTAAAGAGGCTCGCCCGGATTGAGCAAAGAGGACACCCGTCTCATTAGCCTCGCCGAATCCACTCTCAAAGTAGCGACGCATCTGCTTGGAAACAGACCGAATGCCTGAAGCATCTAGACCAGAGACACTCTCGTCTAGTAAGCCAATCTCATACTCGACGTCGGCGGTGTTAGCCTGAGCCGCGTGCAGAGTCGAGTTGGGGAGACTTGTCCAATCAGGACCAAAAGAGGTGCAGGCGAAGATGCGATGAGGTGCGGTCCTATCATCCACGTTGTCAAGGAGGGAGAAGTCGTAGAACATGGTTTCAGGGCAGTGATTGAGTTGATCAAAGCCCGGGAAGGCTTGCCAGTTGGCCGGGTCTGCGCCAGCATCCGCGCATCGCATAGGACAGACGTCGCTTGCGGGACGATATCCTGGGCTGACAGGCTGTCTGAACTCCGAGCCTAGTGCTGAGCCAGCGTTGGACGCGGCCAACAAGAGACCCGAGAGCTTCAGGAGCGCTGTGCGAATGGGAGAGCCCATTGCAGCTTGTTTGAGCTCGGTAGAATGAGTGTCAAGTAGGGAGCAAATGGCAGAACTTCAACAGTCTGTGAATGAGCGAACAGACTACCGTGGATAAGTATAAGGGAAAGAGAAAGAGGAAGATATCAATTCGTCCATCTTCCCATTTCTTATATACCTTGAGAGCCGGAACGGATAGACACACCTGGTCGGAGGACCCTGGTCATCCACACCGGAGCGGTACGAATTATAGACATGCGTTTCCAGGGGTGTCGCTACAAACGGAAAGACGCACCGCTACCCCAGGGTGTGTAAAGCTTCAACATTCGTTCAATATCTATCGTGGGTCTGTGAGATAGAAAAGCGCGGCATTGCCGATGAGAATCAATGAGGCCTTTGTTCTTAGGCCGCCTCACAGTTGCAGGATGACTGCATTAGCAGTTACATCGGCGTCGGTCCAACGCGGAGAGACTGTCTTGGCTTCACGAGTCTCTGAGGCACTCTGCAGGGTGCGTGGCCCAAAAGTGGAAGGATGGTTTGCCGTTATTATATGGGTAGCTAGGTGATGAGGCTCATGAGCTGCAGATTTTCCTTCTTTAGCAGAATGTGCCGCGGACTGCTGAAATCGCCCAGAAGCTTATGCACGCTAGACCCAGTTTTTATATAGCCCTTGATTAAGAGCCGTTAACTATCACAAATTAAAACATAAGCCTAGAGTGACAGCTGACGCTAACGAAAAGCCCTCTCTCCCCCCTTCCCCCACCCCTTTTGATACTCTAGGAAGTCGGCTGAAGAAACAAGCTCGATTCGGCAGGTCTGGAACTCTTTGTGGCAAGCTCTTGAAGTCTCTAAGGTAGCATATGGGGGGAAAGACCTGAGGGTCACAGAAGATTACGAAATTGGGGACGGATTCAAGGGCCGATTGGTCATGATATACGCCCACGTACTACACAAGACTCTAAAGACTCTGGAGAAAGGATGTACAGACACAGGACTATGCAAGTGAACGCCTAGGTTGTGATTGCGTGTATCTAAACTATGAGGAGGCTCATCCCAACGAGAGATACAAAGCAAGCCGCGACAGTGGCGGCCAGGCTTCCACGCATGGTCTCGCCATGACCCTCTTCGTCGTCTTCGTCGGATGGGCGATCCACGTCCTCCAGTGCCCGACAGAAGGCATTGGTGGCGGAAGCAAAGATACTCTCCTCACGTTCCGAGCTGACCTGCACCTCGCAGGGCTTCGGGTCTGGCTTAACTGACGAGAAGTAGGCACACCACTGGCCTGGGTAGCCTTGAGGGTACGGTTCGCCAATTTCGGTGATATTCAAAGTAACGCTCGGGAAGTCGGAGCATTGGGAATCATCTGAAGAAGCAACTAAATCAGGCTCTCGGCCACCTTCCTCGGTCGTAAAACGTATATAGTTGCGGAAACTTCCAGAATAAGGGTGTATTCGTCGGCCCTCCCCTTCGGTGCAGTTAATCCACGTGAGACTCCAGGCGAGACTCCAATACGCCTTTATATCGAAGTTTCCACAAAAGACATCATGAACAAAGAAAGGCTCGCTATCAGAGGCGTTGGCCATTTCTCCGAAGTCAAAATTGGTCGTATCATTCACATCCCAGTCACTAGTGCTCTGATTCCATTTGAACAAGGTGGCCGAAAGTGACGGTGTCAATGACTGGGCGATGGTCGGGTTCTGGAATGCGAAGACAACCGGAAACAGGGGTGAAGGTGCGTACGTCTCGTTGCGAGGAAATACTTGATGGAATTCCGTGATGCCAGTCGATAGATCATCGAAGTCGGGTAGATCGTCATAGGCAGCCGTAGCGACCGTGCTGCAAGACAGAGCACATGCCCAGGTGACAAGCTGCCAACGAGATAGAATAGCCATACTGATTCTAAATGGGGGCGAAATCAGCTGGGGGGGAAGAAGATTGTGAGAAAGTAAGTTAGAGAGGAAGTAGGAAGTGGGAAGTGGGAAGTGGGAAGTGAGTACGGAAGAGTGTCTGCAGAAGAGGTAACAAGGCACATATCTTTGTGCCCGAACCAAGCATGCCACGCCACCACAAATCACTTGGGTGCAAAACAAAGCAACCTAGGCAGTTTAATTTGTTGCGGTCCTTTGTGGGTATACGAGTCATCCACCAAGGCGCACAAGAGCCAACCATGCTACGTATTAGCGGAGGACGAGCCACCGCTGCAGCCAGCCCCTGCTAGTGCCTTGGCCCTCCTACAGTGACCCGGGGGTGGCGTCCAGTAGCCGTCTCGGGGGGAGATCACGGATCGGGTTTGCGGAGTAGTTTACTCTACAGCACAACCCCTGAATGTTTGTTCACTCGCGACTTGACCCCAGTCGCGTAGCTGCTTAGCAGACCGACAGGGCCCGGCCCCGTTAAACCGTTATTACGGCACGATGTGGATTTCCGCGCTAGCAGCGGCTCATAGTAAATCTCTAATTTTGATTCGTTCAAAGGTCCCTGCTAGCGCGGCTCTTATACTGGATGGACAAACTTACAAGATTTGTACTGTACTCCTGTCGGACACGTGACCGCTTTGGTGGAGGCACGGCCCGAGTTAGTGTGTATGTGTGCAAGTGTTCATAATCGAGGAAATAGTAGGTCTTTTTGGGGCCTAGAAAAGGCTATTTGAATTGATGATCAAGAGGCTGATTTTAAGGCCTTTTTTTGTGTGTTCGTTGTTCTTGTTGTTCGTTGTTGTTGTTCGTTCTGTGTGCTCATTCCTTCATTCCAGCCATCTCCAGACCCCTCTTTGCTTAGTCACCGCGGTCCGACCCCTTTTCGGTCTGACAACTCCTGTCGGACACGTGACCGCTTTGGTGGAGGCACGGCCCGAGTTAGTATGTATGTGTGCAAGTGTTCATAATCGAGGAAATAGTAGGTCTTTTTGGGGCCTAGAAAAGGCTATTAGAATTGATGATCAAGAGGCTGATTTTAAGGCCTTTTTCTGTGTGTTCGTTGTTCTTGTTGTTGTTGATCGTGCTGTGTGCTCATTCCTTCATTCCAGCCATCTCCAGACCCCTCTTTGCTTAGTCACCGCGGTCCGACCCCTTTTCGGTCTGACACACCCCCCCAGATGAAGCCATCGCGGCTTGATCTGCATACCTATTCGCGCCGTAGCTAGGTGGTTATTTCGAGCCGTAGTTAGGAGGTTATTCCCACTTCCGAAAGGAGCGTTGTGACCGTATCCGTGATGTCATCCAGCTGCCGCTGTGGCCGTAGCCGATCGCTTATATCCACAAGTCCTAGCTGCTGTACGAAGGCGTCGAACGCCGCGTTCGAGAGCACCTTTGTGAGCCCGTCTGCGAGTATCTTGCCGGATGGTGTGTATTCCACGGATATCGTTCCTTTTGATGATTCCTGCCGTAGCCAGTGATTGTGGATATCCACATGCCGTAGCCGTGTGTTCAGCTGACCGATCTGCTTATTGACGAGCTTGATCGTTTGCTTGTTGTCACACTGAATGCGTATCCCGCCACTGTCTTTAAGATCGAGCCCGATTTCCTTCAGCAGCCGGCTGATAAACATCCCTTCTTTGGATGCTTGTGATAGCGCCAATAGCTCTGCTTCCGTTGTTGAAGTTGTAACCGTGGCTTGCTTATTAGCCCTCCAGCCAACGATCCCTCCGAATAGCCGCATTATGTATGCTTGTGAGCTCTTCCGATCGATTGAATTGTCGGCAAATGACGCATCGCTAGCCACATCGAAGCTATTGCTTACTCCAAATTGAAGGGCAAGGCTATGACTATTCCTCAGATATAGGAGCGTTCGGTCGGCGGCCCTATGGTGTTCGGGACCGGGCAACCGGCCGGCGGCGGCCAGCATCTGGGTGCTGATGTCCTTGGCAGGCTTCGGCCGTCCGGCGCACGGTTA